GTGCCCTGCAATCTTGATTTTCCTGCTGTGCAAACTAACTGAGGCGCCGGGTCCTAATGGCTTCGTCCGTGCGGCCGGCGCGCGGGTCCTGCTGCGGCTCCGTGCCGCCGTGCCGGGGAGAGTTGGCGGGGCCGGCGCCAAGTTGCGGGCGGGGACGCGGCTTTGTCGGGGCGGCGCGCGGGGAAGGCCACGGTCGGTGCCGGCTGTGGCTGGAGGCGGCAGCGCCGGGATGGACGCGGGCCTGGCCGCCTGCCGGTTGATTTATGTCTCGTGTCAAGTCCTCCTGCGTCGGGCTGCGAACAATGCCGGTGCGCACTCGGCGCGCCTTCCACCTTCGCCTTTTGTATTCCCGGGCCGGATACCCACCCCCGAGGACACGCTGTGCTTTCCTCTTCTCTTGATCACGCCCGTGTCATGTTCACAGTCCTTTTTTCCGAGGGTGGGCAGGTTTTTTGTTGTTACCGATAAACGCGTACAGGTTAACAATGAAGTAGATATTTAATAGGTGCTTAGCAATTGTTATCTAACCAGTATTTATGGAGCCCACCCGCTCACCGTGAGCATGGGATGCATATTTAAAAGTAAGGCGCAAGTCTGTGCATCTGAACCGGGATCTTTTGACGAGAGGGAACATTAAATGCATGTCACTGTCCTTTGCCCACCTGATCAGTAAATACTTGCAGAAAGAGTGCATGAATGCTAGGTACTGGTCGAGACACCATCTTTCATTGATAAAGTTTTGTTTCCTTTGTGTTTGAAGATCTAGTTTTTGGTTGGTTTTTTTTTTCTTCAAGGAGTTTACTTTTACCTACCTGTAAAGCACTTATTTGAATTTCTTTAATGAGTTCAAGGAATCGGAAAGAATCAGAGCTTCCTGTATTTGATGTTCTGTTTTTTTTATAGCGTGCTTTCATTGGCCTTTTAAAGAAATGCACATGTATAACTTTATTGGCGATGAGGACTCATTCTGTGTTAACAAACTCTGTTTAGTTTCTAACACAACGTGCTGCGGTTGCTGTTCTTGTGATTTGTGACCTCCTGACAGATCCTGGTCCTCTTCTAGTAGTGGTAAGGGTTTGGAGATTGCAGAAACTGACCCCTAACATGCATAGAGGATATGTTGGCATTTTCTAAACACAGAAATGCTTCTACTGGCTCTTTGGCATTTCTATTAACATCTCAGGTGAAAAGCTCCTTTGTGTGTGTGTGTGTGTGTGTGTGTGTGTGTGTAAATACACTAGGTATTCTTCTATTTAATTTTTTTATGAACTTTATATTTCAAAGAGATAATTTTTAAGATTTTATGAGACAGGTAATACATAAATAACAAGAGAAATGCAAAACTGCGTGATGGTATGGTTTTCCTCCTGTCTGCTAGACACACCTGATAATTCCTCTGCCCCACCCTTAAAAACCCATGCCCCAGCAAATGCTGTATATTGTGTCCACAAGTGAATAAAGTGGACTTACTGGAAGATACTCTTCTGCCTGTTTGTGCTTTGAGCTTTTAAATCAGTTTGGATCTTTAATGGTGGTTGTGTACTCTGGATTTGGAACCCACAAAGGTTGGACCCTCAGGGCAGATTACCCATTTCTCTCCTGTTGAGCAGCTGCATACCTTTGGGCTGTTAGTGCACTTCTTGACCACTAAGCCAGGGGCGGTCCCTTGGGTGCTTTAGTTCTCACTTGAGAGTAAAATGAGGCCTTGAATCACTTCTAATCTTTGAGTTACTCATAAAGATAATAGTGCAGGAAGAGTGATTTAGGGCTCCACAGACCAAAAAGAAAACATTTTGATGAGTGAATGAAGTACTGTTGATCAGTTTTTAAATAATCCTCTTTTTTTTTTTCTTGTTACGATTTTTAGACTCTGAGGAGCAGTTGGAGTTATGGAAATGAAAACCACTAAATCTGAGCCAAACTCTGTAGTGCAGCCTCCCTCACCTACTGATGGCTTTCCATGCCAAATGAGACTTTCTGAGAAGATTGTGCCATTGAAAACTTGTTTTAAGAAAAAGCCAGATCAGAAGAGATTGGGAACTGGAACTCTCCGGTCTTTGAGGCCAATATTAAACACTTTACTAGAATCTGGTTCACTCGATGAAGTATTTAGGTCTAGAAACCAGAGTGCAGATGAAAGCAGCTTACAGGACTCTATTGTGAAGAAACCCCTGGAAATCAATACGCCGTGTCCACCAGCAGAAGACAATATGTCTGTTCTGATTCCTGATGGGGCAGTTGTTGGAGGTCAGATACCAGAAGCTCATCCACCCACTGATGCTCCAGAACAAGTGGTTCCAATCCAGGACCACAGTTTCCCATCAGAAGCCATTAGTAGGACAGTAGCAGATTCTACAGCAGTGCACTTTCAGACTGAACTTCTGCCCCATGTTTCAAGTGATGTTCCTGCTAGTCCTGATTGCATAGACAAAGTCATGGATTATGCTCCAGGGGTTTTCCAAGAAAACAGCTTTACAATCCAGTATATTTTGGACACAAGTGATAAGTTGAATACTGAGCTGTTCCAGGACAAAAGTGAAGAGGCATCCCTTGACCTTGTATTTGAGCTGGTGAATCAGTTACAGTACCATACTCACCAAGAAAATGGAATTGACATCTGCATGGATTTTTTGCAAGGCACTTGTGTTTACGGCAAGGATTGTTCGAGACACCATACAATATTGCCATACCACTGGCAAATCAAGAGGACAGCTACACAGAAGTGGCAGAGCGTGTCCAATGACTCCCAGGAACAGTTGGAAAGATTTTACTGTAATCCAGAAAATGATAGAATGAGAATGAAGCACAGGTATGTATTTAAAACAACTTGTAAGACTTCCGTTTAACCTTGTAGAGAAGGTAAAGTAGCTAACAAGTTAGTAGGATTCTTCCTTTCAGAAGTAACAGATTTTATAGCCTTTTCCACCACTGCAGTTTTGGCTTTATACTAGTAATTTTTCATGGTAATTGAATGCAGACTGTTTACCTAACTAGACAATGAAGGTTTTATAATTTGAACAATTTGATTGTCACTCTACAGTACTTGGGTGACTGAGAAGTTGCCTATATTTCAGATACTGTGAATCAGAAACTGTCTTAATCACACCACTGGTGAAATAAAATTCATGGAGAATCTTACATTAATATTAACCATATATTATCACAGTTTTGCATATTAAGTAGTTACTGTTTTTAAAAGGAAAACCATATCATTTGGAGATTTTTTTCCATGGTGCTCTTTTTATTTGAATGGCAAGAAATGTTTCTATGGATGATTCAGAAGTTAATGAATTTTTGAATCATGCTCAAACATATTAAGGTTGTTTTTAATTTCTGTAAAACTTGTTGCTATTGAGTTTATTCTTTTACTAAAAGAAATTGTTGTTTAGTTAAGGGTACTCCACCTTCCTGGTGGTTTGGGTTTTTGGTTTTTTGTTTTTTAAATCTTGAACTATTACATTGCAATTAGTGAAAGGAAGATTTGTGGTTTTGATATCATGCGCATAAAACACCCTCACTTTGTTATGCAAGACATAAATTCTGTTTAATATGAATGTTGAAGGATTTTCTGATGGGAAACTGAAATTCTTATAATCAGATTCTTTAATTGAGGTTTTAAATGAAGAAAAAAGTTTACTAAGGCAAAAGTAACTATAGTAAGCATATGTATCTTTTTATTTTTAAATTCTTGTATAGTTGAGGAGTTAAGATATGTCATGTTAACAGTTATTTGTGTATTACCAAGAGGAAGCATTGAAATAACACGGGAGAGAACTTGGTCCATTCTACCTGACAGCCTGCCAAATAAGGAGTGGTCAGCTGTAGTACTTGGGAGGTTTGATGTGATCCATATGTGGAGAAAATCATACTGAATGCTAGGGAACACAGAAAGTAAGAAAGTTATGATCATAAGCTTTTCCATATTGTCTAGTTCTGTTAGTTGTTTTGTTAATTTTTTTTTAAATTATTATTATGTGTACCGTCAAATCAGATCTGATGGGTACAGGAGGAGATTGTCCCTCCTTCTCCGGAAGAGCATCTTGTGGGTTTGAACTGCCCACCCCTGGGATTGCAGTGCAGCTTCTTGCCACTAGACCACCAGAGCTCGCCCTGTTAGTTGTTTTGGATAGCAGACACTGTTGATATTGAGGAAACTTAGCATTTTATAAAAAACCACTTTTTTCTTCTTTCCTTTTGTTGCACTAGTATTGGTGTCTGTTAATATATAGTATAGTGTTGAGTTTTTTTCTTTCCCCAGTATTTTATGATGAGAAAACAGTAAAAAGTGAGACAATTACATTTTAAGCATCTTTGTACCCACCTACTAGTTCTACAACATTTACTTTGCCTTATTACAAAATGTCTGTCCTTTCTTGTTCTCTTGGCTTTTCACCAATCCACAATGGGTATGTAACAAAGCATTTGCCAGTTTTTAGCAGTCTGAGGATTTGTATTTTGTTGGTTTTTTTTTAAGTTGTCAATTCATGTGTGTCAATAGATAAGTGCTTCATAGGGTTTTCAGTGACTTGTGGAAGTCGATTCCTAGACCTGAGCTGCGTGTGAACCTTCAACCTTTTGGACACCACCTAAGAAAGTTAATATTATGTACCATCGAAGAACTGCTGTGTCTTTTTGTTGTTTTGTACCGTTGAGTTGGAACTGAACCATAGCTGACCCTTTTGCAATTTTTTAGAGACCGAAAATTTATATGGAAGGAAATTGTCCCTCTTTGTGGAGGAGCTGGTGGATTTAAACCATGTATTTTTGCATTGACAGCTCAATTTTTTACCATTAAGATAACAGCAGTCAGGAAATCAAAAGATGAATTGGGTAAATCTGCTGTCAGAGACCTTTCCAAAGTGCTAAAGACTTGGTCTGGAGACTAAGGTACACCTGATCCAGGCTGTGGTCTTTGGAAACGACTTGCTGTGTGTCAGAGAGCTGAACAGTGGTAGAAGATTCGATGCCTTTGAGTTGTCGTGCTGAAGAGTCTTGAACATACCATGGACTGCCAAGAGAACAAACAGCTTTGTCCTGGAGAGGGTGAAACCAAGTTGCTCCTTTGAGACAAGGCTTTTGAAGCTCCATCTCACATACTTAGGGCATGTTGCCAGGAGGGACCAGTCCTTGGAGAAGGACATCATGCTTGGAAGGGTGGAGGGACAGCGCAGGAGAGGAAGATGGATTGACACAGTAAGGTGTGTGTCAGAGACAAGTGAGACTGGCTCAGGATACAGCAGGGTTCAGAGCTTTTGTGCATATGGTCACTGAGTCACGAGCACTTTATCACATAACAAGATACCAGAGCTCCCACCATTTTAACAACGTCACTTGCACTGCGGACCTTAAGCATGCAGTTCAAATCCATGGGCTGCCCTGGGTGGGGGGCGGGGGGTAAGATGGGCAGTCTGCTCTCTATGCAATTCACTGTCTCTGATGAGCCACTGGAGGGTTGGCTCTAAATTGGTTCCAACTTAATGATACACAGCTAACAGAAAACCAGTTTTAAACTAGAACTTTGCTTCTTGAGATTTGAAAGGGAGGTGTAGAACAGGAAGAAAAATAGTTAATACTCAAGTTCAAAGGTTTCTTATAACTCTTTGGAATAAAAAAAGATAGGAGTATATCAAGAATGTACTTTTTGGGTCTTATATGTGTTACCTTGAAAATATAAAGAATTAATTCTTTTGTTTGGATAACAAAATTTAGATCTTAAAGTACTTCTAGGATTTTTGTTTTAAGCCAGTATTCGAAGAGTGAAAATATTTCTCATTTTATCCTTAAAGTCTTTCAAATTAATTACTGTCCACTATCTCATGTTGCTTATAAACTAGCAATTCTAATTGCTATGTCAAGGGTAATTAATTTTATAAACTCTCAAAGCCACTTTAATCTTCCTTTCTCCACATTGCAAAACTGTGCAGAACAGTGGCCTCCCACTTCACTCAAAAAAAATTTCCAGTCTGTTGAGTACTTCAGCCTCTTGGTACATTTTTTTCCTGGTTAACTATGTCAGGAAGAAACTAGCCGGATTATTGCTAGCACATTACATTCTGTAACTGTAAGCAAGGCAAGAGAGGCATTTTGATCCCAGAAAATCCAAGAACTTTTAGTTCAGCAGTGTATCAGATATTTTATCCTTTGGTAAGATTATTACGTGAAAATATAAAATAGTTTCAGTGGGTGCTTGATTTTGAAATTGTTTTAATGAAGTAAACTAATATTTATCTGACAGTTTGAAGAAGACAAGTATGAGCAAATTATAATTTCTACTACTTTGTTAATAGTACTAGTAATAGATTCTTCCTTGAGGTCCCTCTAGTCCTTCCCTAAGAAAAATAGCAAATGTGTAGCTGTTAATTGCTGGTAAAGTGAAATTTTCCATGCACTACAAGAAGAAATGTTCTAATATAGTGTCAAAAATTATACTTTTGGGAAGTTGACCTATGGTCATTGCAACCTGGCTTTCCTTGTATTCCAAAACGATGTTGTGTCTCCTGGCAACAAGATGCAGATAACGGCATGTTAAGCCTTGCTGAGAGATTCACAAACAAGCTGGAGAAGCTAGGTTCACATGGTTACCACATTATTTGGCTACAACTGTTAATCTCTTGTGGTCAAGCCAGTAAAGCTGGTCTCTATCTATGCAGATTGCACATAACCAGGAAGTGTGTGTTCAGCTGTGTGTATATGTCCAGGACTGACTCAGCAGTCTTTGGATTCAGGAATAATGAATGGTAGTAGTTTATTCCACTTGTTTTCTGCAGTTTATACTCCAGATTTAATGTAGTCAGCTTATTGGAACTTGGGGAAACCTAGTTCTTGGGTTTGTAGTAGAGACAAAAGTTTATAGTTTCAAAGTGTTTAGGTAAAATTCTTAATTCTAAAATTCTTAATTTTGCTTTGCAAATGTATTGAATTTACCATCTAAATGAATCCAAACTAGATGTGTAGTGTTCATTTTATTCTCAAGAATGAAATTAGAAAAGGTATTTGAAGTATAAATTCACAAGTCCTTTCATACTTTTTAGTCAAAATTCTTAAATTCTAAAAACACTTTAAAAAGAGATCAAAATGCTTATTTCGTATGTAGTAATGAAATTATTTTAACTATCTCCATTTTTGCCTTTAGCCCAAAAGATGGTATAATCTCACTTTGTTTTCTCACTGTTTGGTACCTCTGCAGATGCTTATTGCTAGCATCAGTGAGAAATTAGGTGTATGCATGAACTTCACAGATTTACATATGGAGGCTTCTAGCATATGGGGTAACAATGCATTTGAGTAAACAGCATTGAATATTGTGTTTTCTACTGGGAGAGCAGGCACTCTGGCAGTCTAAAGGTTAAGGAGTTGTGCTGCCAAGTCAGACACAGGTAATTTGAATCTACTAGCTGCTCCCTAGGAGAAAGGTGGGCAGTCTCCTCCTATTTTACAGCTTCTGGAAAGCTGCTGGAGAGTCTACTATGAGTCACTTCCAACTTGGACAAATTAAGAGAATTATCTGACAGACATTCATCCTTGGTCAACTTAGCTCATTATGGGCAGGCCGGAACGATTCATAGCTAACCCTTTAGTGGATTTTTGAAAGCTGTAAAACTGTTCCTCTTGGTCTCTAGGATCCACTAGTAGATTCCATCTGCTTGAAAGACCCCACCTTTGGCTTAGGGGTGCAACTCCCATGACAAAGCCATAAGAGAAGATGGTGCTGACATCAAATCCAAGCAGTTTTGAAAGAGCCTCACTTAATATGTGTGGAATACTATTATGTTTAATTGAAATTGCCCTGGACTCCTTTTTTAACAATTG